TAAATCCTTTATTCTCTTTAATGTTGTTAAAGAGTTTATTGGTTCACCATTCACTAGGCTTTGAAAGTCATGGGTTTTATGAATCGTTTTTGAATGCATGCCTACTTTAATGTGTTAATAGTTTGCATATGTATTCAAATATTCTCACATGTTCTTAGCTAGGACAAAATTTTTCCTTCAAAACAGAGTTGGATAATATTGTAATTGGTGATTTTTTTAGTCAATACTGATAGCTTCTTTTGCAAGTTTCTTTTCTCTCTCTCTTTCTCTCTCTCTCTCTCTCTTTCTCTTTGTCTGTGATTTTCATAGCTTCATATTTTCAAGCTTTTCTGTATGTTTCAATGGCTGAAACTGCCATAGTTATGATAGTATCAAGAGCTTAGGTTTGGTGAATCTGTGAAGAGGATCTTGGTGAGCTCATCAGGCTTTGGAATTTGTGTTTTTGTGAAGGCTTTGTAAGTTTTGCACGGTGGTTTATGTTTTCGTTGGAAAGGTGTTGGTTTTGGTCTGTCGTTGAAAAATTAGGTTATATCTGTTTGATTCTTGTGTTTTCTGATGAATATTCTCTTGAATTTATGTTCAATTTCATGCTGTAGCTATGGATCTGCGATTTGTTGCTATGATAAATGTTAGGGCACGAAGCCTATTGTGAATTGAATCTTTTTTATTGATGAATTGATGATTGTTTTAAGCACGAAGATCCTTAGTGTTTAGGCACAAAGCCTTGATTCTTTCTGATTGATGAATTGATGATTGTTTTGAGCATGAAGCTCTTTACTGTTTGGGCACAAAGCCTATTGTGAATTGATTCTGTTTGAGGGATATGATTTATTTGATCACTTTGATGGCACATCTGTGTGTCTATCGAAGTTCTGTTCACTAAAGATGGTGGTATAACCGCTGAGATTACAACAGCATGTAAGAAATGGATTAAACGAGACGAGCTCTTGTTAGTCTTCCTCTTGCTACACTAGGAGATGAGGCAGTGGAATATGTTGTAGGATGTAAAACTGCATATGAAGCTTGGATGAATATGCAGGACAGATATGTTACAGTTTCAAGAGCAAGAGTGAATCATCTTAAAACTGAATTATTGACTATCAAGAAAGGGTCTGATAGTGTTGAACAATATATGTTGAGGCTTAAGGTCTTAAAGATCAGCTTATGGTAGCGGGTGAAGTAATGTCTGAGAATGACCTTATTGTTGCTGCTCTTGTTGGTTTACCAACTGAGTTTAATATGATTCGTACTGTGATTGTGGCTTGTGAAACTCCTATTTCTTTGAAAGAATTCCGAGCACAATTGTTGGCAGCTGAGAGGATAGCTGAAGATTCATAGGCTACTTTGAATTTTCCCATGTCAGCCATGTATTGTTAAGGAGAATCATCTAATGCTCATTCGTCACAAGATCAAGGAGTTCTCAATATTTTTCTAGTGGCTATGGTTTTGTTAGTGAAGCTAATAATTCTTCTCAGAGTAATGCTCACAGACCAACTGGAGGCATTGTTTCTCAGGCTTTTCTGCCTCAGCTTCATCAACAAAGGAATGGGACTTTTCAGAACAATAGGGGATATCAAAATCATGGAAGCAACAATGGAAGGTTTAAAAATAGGTCCAGATACAATGGGCATAATAATGGCAGATTCTCTGGCAATGGTTTCTCTGGAGGTTTAAACAATAATGGTTTTTCTGGTAGTTCTAAAGGAGGATCAACTTGGCAGAATTGGAATGGCAGTGGTGGGTCTAATACAACATTGATTCCTGAATGTTAGATATGTAATAAAAAAGGACACACAGCTCCTAATTGCTACTCAAGGTATGATGCAAGCTCAAACTCAGTCCCTTCAATTCTGGAATGTCAAATATGTGGGAAGAAAGGTCATTTTACTCTTAATTGTTATCATCGAGGAAATTATGCATATCAAGGTGCTCAACCTTCTTCTTCTTTGACTGCTCTCACTACACAAGCTCAGTAAAACTTTGCTTCTTCTTCACAACAAAATTGGGTGCTTGAAATAAGGGCTACACACCATATGACAGTTGATCTGGATCATTTAACACTTGTCACTCCTTTTGAAGGCAATGAAAGGATCACAGTGGGCAATGGAGAAGGTCTACATGTGCCCAATACTAGTTTGGGTTCTTTTTTAACTTCTTCCAAACCTTTAACTCTTTAAATGGTTTTACATATTCCTCAATTAGTAGCTAGTTTATTATTTGTGTATAGAGCAAAGAAAATCACTGTTGTGTTATACTTGATGAACTTGGTTTTTGGGTGCAGGACAAGGCAACAAAGAAAATTCTAATGAGAGGAAGGAGTAGTAGTAGTGGCTTGTATTACATTCCTCAGCAGCAGTTTTTCAACTATTCTCAGCTAGTAAATAATACACCTCAGGCTCTTTTGGGACAACTTGTGAAGATTTCAATCTGGCATTAAAGACTTGGGCATCCTACCAATGAAATTCAGTTGAAAATGTTGAAGGAGTCTTAGATATCTATTTCTTTAGATAAACGTCCACAATTATGTTTAGCTTGTATTAGGGGTAAGATGACTAGACAACCATTTCCTTCTAAATGTAATAAGTCTAGTGTTCCTTTTGAGAAAGTGCATACTGATGTATGGGGACCCTCACCTATTATGTCTCTTGAAGGTTAAATATATTATGTAATCTTTGTAGATGAATGCACAAGGTTCACTTGGATATTTCCTCTTGTTAATAAATCTGATGTCTATACTGTGTTTGTTAAGTTTCATGCATTTGTTATGAATCATTTCAAATGCAATATTAAGACACTACAATCTAATGGAGGAGGAGAGTATATGAGTAGGTTGTTTAAACAATTTCTAGATACAAATGGGATTTTACATCTTGTCTCTTGCCCTTATAACACTCAACAGAATGGGCTGGCAGAAAGGAAAAATAAGCATATTATTGAGACTACTATGACATTATTGAGTGCTGCAGGTTAAACCTCAAAATTTTTGGTTTCATGCTTGTAGCTATGCAGTGTTTTTAATTAATAGAATGCCTTGCCAAAACTTAGATATGATGTGTCCTTATCTTAAGTTGTTTGAACAATCTCCATCTCTGATTTCCTTGAAGATTTTTGGTACTGCATTCTATCCCTACTTAAGACCTTATAATGCCAATAAGTTACAAGTTAGAAGTGATGAATGTGTGCTTCTGGGTTATTCCGTTGGATATAAGAGAGTGTTGTGTTATAATAGGAATACACAAAGGTTACTGTTATTAAGGAATGTAATCCAGATGAAAGTGTGTTTCCTTCTAAGAAGTCTTCATCTTCTTCTATCAATGTTTCTTTGCCTGTTACAATACCACAAAGAGAGTTGCCAAGGATGGTATTGATTGTGTTGCCTAGTTCATCTTAACAAACAAGAGAAGTAAGTAGTGAAAGTGGTCAATCTATGGATTTGCATTCTATTTCATCTTAGCCTTCAAGTTCATCTTCAAGTCAAGTCCTCTGTGGTTTCATTGCTATTCTCAATATTCATTGTTGAGCAAAAATTGTACATAATATGTAAACAAATAATTCCCTCGACACAATTTCACCCTCGTTTATTTTTTTTAAGATTTTTTTATTAGTTTGAGTTCGACCCATTCTAGGCTACGTGCCTATTAATTACAACATTTCTTTTGGGAAAGGAATACCCTTTGATTCTAATATGAAGAAATCGTAACTTGAGAATTTGGGTGTTTATTTGATTTTTTGACTGCGTCTAGGTAGAGCCCTAGATTGCCTACATACCCTCGTTGAGGGATCAAGTCACTCGTAGTTCCTTGTATGCTTGATACTTGTTTGGATTTTGATGGCTTGTGCAGTTTTAGCTAATGCGGGTGAGGACTTTGCGCCATTGGAGCGTTTGTGCCTTGTGCAGTTTAGGCTCTTGCAGGCGAGGACTTTAAGCTATTGGAGCTTTTGATTCGGTTTCATGCCATTTGAGATTTTTCTTCAGCTTCATGCCTTTTGGGATTTGACGCAGCTTCATGCCATTTGGAATTTGATGTGGCTTCGTGCCATTTGTAATGTGAAGCGGCTTTGTACCATTTGAAGCGGCTTCGCGTCATTCGTAATTTGAACCGGCTCGCTTCTCTTTTACTCTTCATAGAATTTGTAATTAGAAGTGAATTTAGTTTATATAAACCAGGGATTCGTCTTGATTTCATGGTTGCGTCTATAATTTGATATCAGACTGTCTATGTATCCTTAACGGAATCAAACCGGCGTAGTTCATAAATGCTTGATTTGAGCCTCATCGCGGCTTTGTGCCATTTGAGATTTTTCTTCAGCTTCATGCCTTTTGGGATTTGACGCGGCTTCATGCCATTTGTGTCTTGTAAATTTAATAGGAATATTTGATCCATTGGAGCAGTTGATGCCTTATGCAGTTTTAGCTTGTACGGGTGAGGACTTTAAACCATTGGAGCTTTAATAATTAATAGGTAAACGACCCATTAATTAGAATTTGAGTATAACAATCTAGAAGGGTTTTAGAGCCCTTGAATTTGGCTCAAACGAATTTTGAATTTGATTGAATTGGTGGGTAACCCATTGAAGAATTTTCGTGGTTTCGTACCACTAGAATTTGGTTTATTCAATTAGCTTCACGATTTGGAGACAAGCAACAGCTAAACTTAATATGGTCTAGCATCAGACTAATGTTTAGCATGGTGCATTTTGATGGTTTTGGATATACTCTACTTTTGGCAAAAGAATTGGATATTTTGATTGCCACGTCACATTCACCAAATTGATAATGCTTTGACTTCTTTTCTCCTATTTTTTGTTTGGTGTCATGAGATGGGTTGCCTATCTTATTTTCCTTGTTTTTTTTCTTTGTCCCGTGACCTTGTCAGTTTGTTTCCATTCCTTAATTATAAATACAACCCATAATTTCGGTGGGGGTAATGACTCTCTTTTGCTCTCCACGTGAGCCACGTGAGGTGTAGACTTCATTAGTACTCACACCCCTCGTGAGATGCTTCAGCAATCCCTTTTCTCTTAGCTCTGAAAACCCGGTGGTTTCCCCCCAAAAGCAAGAAGCTATTTCGATATACTTGGGCTCCCGTGGATTTCATTATGTTTCAAACTTCTACTTGGATTGGGTATCTATTGATTTCAGAGCGAGAATGGGTAAGGTTTGTTGGAGCTCAGATTCTTTATTCAAATTACTTCAATTTTTCACTATTTCCCCCAAATTGCAGAGCTCCCTTTTTGTGCAGGTCACGGAACTTTCATTTTTTTTCCTGCATCATTCTTTTGTTTCTTGCCACTTGTGCTTTTCTTTTTTGTGGATCGAAGACTTGAAATGAAGAGGGCAGGGGGTGTCAAGCAGGTTACCCATTTTTGTTTTCTTTATGTTCTGGGTTTGCTTATGTATTTGGAGTGAAATGAAGCTTTAACTGCGATGAACTTGTCAATTCTTTCGTGCAGGCTTCATTGGCAACAACATCTCTTCGACTTTGTTGTTGCTATGTCTTTTAGGTAATGAACTTCATTGAATTGTCCATACCCTTTTTTTTGTTTATTGATTGAATTGTCCATACCCTTTTTTTTGTTTATTGATTGATGATAAACCCCACTTGTTGTTGGTAGTTTTAGTAGCCTAAATTCTTCTAGCTTTTCGTTTATCACGAGTAGCTTTTCAGTATTGGTTTGACTTGGCTTTTGATATGGCTGCTGGACAAACTGTTTTGCAGTACGAGTTCATTGAAGACAAGTGTTGATCCATGGCTCCAAAGGTGAGAATTGCACTCTGAATTTTGTAGTAATGCATCCCTCAAATTTGCTATATTTTGAATGAGTTTTGATGTACTTGAGTGTAAATACTCTGGCATTTCTGTTTCCACAGGGGAAATTATTTGATTGGTCTTGACAATGGGAATTTGGACACCCTTTTTTGTGTTCCCATTCGTATTTTGTCTTGGATACTTGCCATATTTTCCAATTAACACTTGTACAAAGAAATGCTTTTCCCAAAATCTTTTGTAGTTTTGACTTGTCTTCTAGTTCCTTGGGTGTTTACCATGTGAATGAGTTTCCTAAATAATTTGGCAGCAAGCTTTTCCTTCTTTGTAGACTTGGGACGACAAGTGTTTAATATAAAGGCTTTGAACCTTCTTTTAAATGTTTGTGGCAGAGAAGTAGGTGAAAATTTTGACACAATGAATATCTTTGTCCCATCTTCACGTGACAAAGAAGACTTTGAACATTCTTTTAGCTTTTACAGGAACTTTTCTTCCTTTAGTCACTCCTTTTTGTCAACATATGCACCTTTTCCTTGTTCTCTTGTCTCTTTTATCCAATATGATGGCCATGTGCATGGTTTTTATGTTATAAAAACAAACTTTTCTTCTTCCTTTTCTTCACGTGAATGACTTTGAGATGGCACCTTAGATTTTAAATTCCTCCTTTTCCTTGGACTCTTATCCCAAATAGGTTTTCATAGCATTTTAGCCAAGGGCATCCTCCATGTCTACTACCCGTGAGTAGCAAAAACACCAAATAAAATAATTTATTTCTTTCTTGTGTTGCATCTTTGTATATGTTGTTTCCTTTGTCTTACTTCTCAGGGACTTAAGCTTTAGAACTTTGAAACTGCACTTGACAATCTGGCGAGGGGGTATAGACCATTTAGACTTGGTTAAAATTTCACGGGGTGGTCTAAGCCACCCCGAAGAAATTCATGGGATTCTTGGAGATTATTTCTGCTGCTTGTCAGTGGGGAACTGGTAGATTGTTCAGAGTCTCCACCTCTATCTGTTTGATGCAGGAAAATACCAGACAAAGAAACAAAAGCCAAAAGGCTAAAAGAAAGATTAGGAAAAACAAATCATTTGTCGTGGGCCTCTGCATGTTCTTCCCCTTTCTTTTATTTTTTCCTTCTATTTGTTTCTCTATGGTGGTCTATGTCGCAACGCTTTTTGCGTTGCTCTGCTTTTGCTTTTTGCAACGAAACAAGAGACAAATAATAATTTAAATAGAACATGTTTCATACCTGGTGATGAATATTCTTCTTTGGTTCTTGACTCGAAAGCACGAAGGTTGAACTGCTTGCTCACTTTTCCGGCAGCACTTCGTTGCTTTTGGTATTTTCTCTCAAAGTTGCTCTTATTTTCTGCAGAGTTTCTCTGCTCTTTTTTCTGTCCCCTTCTCTTGTTGCAGTTGATGCCTATTTATAGGCATCATAGGAGGGTTCTAGAGCTTGTTACGTGGGGGGGGGGGGAAATGGAGGGCATGACTTCCTGCCACTCTCTCTTAACCTCTCTTAACTGTCCCCACATTTTTTTGTTGCAGGAAAGGGGGGAACCTGTTTATTACTTCCCCCTTTTGTAGGAAATTTTCCTTATTTACTTATTTATATTTTATTTATTTGTTTATGGATATTTGGTTTGTATGTAAAGCCCATTCTTAACTTTTGGGCTGGTTTACATCTTTGTTTTGCCTTGTAGTCTGACCCAATTTGTATGGACTCTATTTTTTATGTTGTATATTTTTGTTGTTCAACATTCATGATTCATTAGAACCTTCTCATTATAAGCAAGCTGTTCTTTCTGAGGATTGGAGAAATGCTATGAAGGAAGAGTTTGAGGCTTTACAGAAACAAGGTACTTGGGAGTTATTACCACCTCCAATTAACAGGAACGTGATAGGAAGCAAATGGGTGTATAAGATCAAGAAGGATCAAGATGGCAAAGTGTCAAGACATAAAGCACGTTTAGTTGCATAAGGATATAGTCAAGAACAAGGGCTAGACTATGAAAAGACCTTTAGTCCAGTGGTAAGACATACAACAATAAGCCTGGTTTTGTCACTTGCTGCTATGAACAGAGTAATAAGATGTGAAGAATGCTTTTCTTCATGGAGAGTTACAAGAAGAAGTCTTTATGAAACAACCTAAGGATTTTCAAGTTCCTAGGAATCCTACTTGAAGGAAATTTTGTGAAAAACATGTTCATTTGAGCAACATCTATTGCATGCAATTAACATTTAAAGGCGGAATCATGCTTGTATGCACTCAAAAACAAAGCATTACCCATGAAATTCAAAGACTAGTAGAAAGGTGAACCAAGACTCAACTCAAGAACAAAGTGAGTTGAGAGATTTTATACCTTTGTTGATTCCTCTTTGCATAAGCAAAGGCTAATCACCCAAGGAGAGGATGGTTGAAGGGATTCTGCAAGTTCCCAAAATTGAGAACCTCTAATTTTTCCACACCAAGGAAGGACTTGAAGAAGAGATGAGTGACCTTGGAGGATGAGAGATTGCTAGCTAATCTCCTCCAAGGGGGCCGGCTTCTTAGAGAGAAAGGGAGAGACATTGTGTTCTCATATTTTCTCTAAAAGAAACCCTAATGAAGAAAAGGCTATAAAGTCATATTTATACCTACCGTCATTGGAGTGGCAAACTTGTAATAAGTCCAAAACCCACTCCTTTATCAATATGGCCGGCCATAGGGTGTTATTAGGCTGTTTGGGCCTTTGTGAATATTTAGTCATTAAGTTGTCATACAACTTAAGTCAATGAGCTTGAGGTTCGAAGCCCATTGGGCCTTGAGGCCCAAAACTAACCTAAGGTCTTTAACGAACTTTATTCGTTTGATTAATTAACATATTAATTAATCCTTTCCACAAATAATTAAACCATTTAATTATTCTTACTCATCTCCGTTGTTTCTTCAATCTCTACCTTACACAGTGTACGATCCATTAGGTTCCTTTTAGCTAGGCAGTGGGCGATTAGAACTCTTTCAAATCGATTGTGAATTGAAACTTACTTTCAATTCTCCCTTTAGTGTTTATACACGTTTAGGGCTTCCACAAACCATGAGTGACACCTAACAGTATGTCATGGTTACCCAAGCTAATCAGAAGAGGTGGAGAACCTATTCAGTTTAGGATTACAATGCAATACAGTCTTTCTCTAATACAATACTCTTGACCACATTGTTTGGTTTGATAGTTTAATCATGTCTACTATCCAATGTGATCCATTTACTTATATGATTACCTTGAATGTGATTTGGAACGACTTCCTAAATCTCATGCATACTCAGGCCAGAGATTCTTAATCATATCATAGAGTATTCTCCCTTAAACGTTTTGAAGGTTAGAGATCCCTTGTTGCGCATTCACTTGCCTCCATGGCTAAGTGGCTTAACCCCAACTATGCCGTGGACACCCTCTGATAAAGTGACTTTGACATAGTCAAAGATCAAGGACCTAACTACAAGACAACTATGATGCCTCAGGTCAAATGACTACTTTGCATTATCCCAACCATGAGTTCTCATATGACATTAGTATGAGAACTCCTCGTTGATCGTGTTCAGTGCACTCATTCTCTATTGAGCACCTACATGCTTGTCTTGGTGTCAATCACACCAATGACTCGATACCAGTCACTCTCACTGAGAGAAGACACAGCACGTACTGATCTTAACGGACTGTCAATGCCCAATTGGCAATCCTATGATCAGGAACGTTTAGGATATGTCTACGAAGAGAATGGTCTCATGAATCTAACTTCTTTAAATTACATTCTCCCTAATTACATATTCCTTGGACTTATTGTTTAAGCATATAACATTTATATGAGACGGCTTAAAACAATAATCTTTGCCCTTGATATTAAACTAGATTAGTTTACATGTGAAATGTCCATAAAGTATCATCGTATGATTTGTTTTAGGGCACATTTCCAACAATCTCCCACTTGCACTAAAGCCAATCAGCTTGGTCATCAATGATGATACCTCTTATGTATTCATTTCAAAAATGGCTGAGTAGTAAGCCTAGACAATGGATATCTACATGTTATCCATAGAAGCAACCTTGAGAATAACGACGTCACCATTATACATGATTCTTAATCATGTGGTTTAGTCTCTCATTTGAGTTCGGATCATGATGAGACCTTGATTCCCTGGCTTGAGCTATCGCCCCATTAGTGTCGTAGTGTCGGTACACTAGAGACACTTTCTGGTTGGAACCGAATAAAGAGTTCATAAATGAACTTTCTCATCCAAACAACATTGTTGTAAGCTTCTTTATGGCAATATATTTTGCATGCATAATGGAACACACTAAAGTCATTACTTTTAATGTTTCCATCCAAATTTCTCTTTAGTCATAATAAAGAGATATCTAATTATCTCTTCATTCATAATGAAGAAACATCCAATGATGGATTGGATTCATAATCTAATACATTTACGCTTCCATTACGTTACTCTAATTCTTCCTCATTCTTGAGGAATCCATCCTTTATTATTTCTCAAATACTTAAGGATTCACTTGACAGTTGCCATGGTTCTGATCCTGGGCTTGCATTGATATCGCCTTGTACCGATCTTGGTACAACTCATATCAACGTTTTTCATACAATATGAAATACATAAATCACCTTTTTACGTATACATAAAGGATTCTATTTACGCATTGTTTCTTTGGGAGTCAAAGGGTACGTTCCCTTTGACAAGAGCTACCTCCTAGTCTCATTAGAGTTGTTCTTCTGATTGAAGTTTATCATTGTTGATGCACAAAATCAGCGAAGACTTTGGTACAACAGAAAGTGTCAGGTTTTGTGACCTTCGCTTGGTTGCTTCGGTCACTAGTGAGGATAAGTACGTAAATGAATAGAGACAGAGAAGCAAACACAGGATGTACGTGGTTCACCCAGATTGGCTACGTCCACGGAGTAGAGGAGTTCTTATTAGTAGTGAAGGGCTTACACAAGTACAAGGGATCAAGCTCTCAATTTAGTGAGTTCTTGTGAATGATTTAACACAAATGGCATTAGGCAATATTGTGGGGGAATGACCCTATTTATAGAAAAACTTGTAGCTTTGTCACATTGACATGTGTCATGTTATGATTGGTTCTTGATGTCGACACGTGCTGCGCTCTGATTGGCTTCTAATCTTGACACGTGTCGAGTAGTGATTGGCCTCTTGGTCGGAGGGGAACTCTTCTGGGTCCTTGACAGTATAGCGTTGGCCGGTGCTCGGTAGTTTCGGGATTGGTCAAGTATGGTACAAACAGTGCTCCCCTAAGTTCCCGAGTGAGGGAAACTCCTCGG